TATCTCATTGCCTCTGGTAGTTTACAAAGCCTAGGTGGGCATGGTGAAACACCCCTGTAATCCCAGAACTTAGGCTGAGGTAGGAGAGTGTCCTGGAGTTCAAGCCCAGTGGGCTACATAGCAAGACTCTGTCACAGACAAACGAACAAACACACAAAATGAAACAACAACAACAAAAAGCACCACACTTGGGAGGCTGAGGCAGGAGGACTGCCACAAGTTCAAGGCTAGCCTGGGCTACCCAGGGAGCTCAAAGTCAGCCTGGACTACACAGAAAGACATTGTCTCAAAAAATATAAATAAATAAATAAATACATACATAAAAACAAACCCCCAAACCAAAAAAAACATTCAAAATGAAACAAAACTTTACAAAGCCTTATTTTTATACTGCTAATATATGAGGTATAGAATGAGGACACACACAACAGATATTTATTGAGTGGCTGGGTAACATATTACTCATTAAAAAAAGAGAAAGCAAAAGCACAAAAGCAGCAGGAAACTGACAGATTTAAAAGAGAAAAGCAGCATTTTTTATAGCATATTTGGAGCAATGAAAGTTATTGAAGTACAGTACTTGCCTCAAACACTTTCCTAATGCTGAAATTAATTTTATGCCGAAGGAAGATATTGTATGGTGGTGAAACATATTAGGTTCACTGATTTTGAATATTCTATTCAAAACACCTCAAAAGAAATAATGCTATTTGTGCAGTCAACTATTTGAACTAGTAGAATGACTGAAGCATAAAGGGGAATAAGCAAAAAAGTTATTTAGACATTGCATAAACAAGGAATTGAGCTTACTTACACAAAATATTTAACTTGAATTTAAGTGTCATGTTATTATCCTTGCCTATATTGTATGCTGATTGGTTGACTGATTCTGGCTTTTTGAGACACAGTGTCACTATGCAGTTCAGACTGGACTTGAATTCATTACATAGTCCAGACTGGCCTTGAACTTGTGGTGATCCTCATGACTCAGCCTCCTAGTAGAGTGCTGGGATCACAGGAGTGTGCCACCACACTCAGTTATATGCTGATTTTCTTTCTTTTTTTTTTTTTTTCTGGTACGGGAATCAAACTCACTACATTGCACTTGCCAGGCAGGCGCTGTGTTGCTGAGCTAAATCCCCAGCTCCTAAGTTTGTTGCTTTGTTTTTTTTTGGTCTTTTTGAGACAAGGTCTCCTTATGCAGTTCAGGCTGGCCTTGAGCTCACTTTGTAGCACACGCTGGGCTCGAACTCACAACAATCCTCATGCCTCAGCCTCCCGAGTGCTGGGATTACAGGCATGCACCACCATGCCCGGCATGCTGATTTTCAAACTGGTGAAATCTCAAAAAAACTAATTAGAAAGTCTAAGTCCTGAATTTTGAAATATTTCCAGTTGCGTATATCTACATGAGTATATTATACATTAAGTTCTAATCCTTCAATATGTTCATTAGTTGAGTATTATTTATATTATCTAATATGAATATTAATACTTAATAGTGCAGCATCCCGCAGAGGTTGCCCATTTCTGTTTTCATTTGTTTGAATGATTATCTTGAAAATGGTCTTAATCCACAATATCAATCCCTCTTGTTATTTCTTTTTTTCCCCATCTGGTAGATGATATCCTTCTCTGAGAAAGATTTTTCGGTATGTGCATTTTGTTTATGCTACACATGCCAAATAGATATCCCAACATGAAACTCTGAGTTCATTTTGAAGTAATTTTTGGTAGCACATGAATCAGAACTCTTATTTTCTTCTCAGCACTACTGGTATTTTATTGCTTCCATCTATAGTCCAATATGCTTTTAGTGCTAAGAACCCTGAGGCCAAACACACAAAGCACTAAGAAAATGGGAACTTCTGGCAGTTACAATTCTGTCTCTCTTTCAAGGTTCTTCCCTCCCCTGGGAGCATGAAATCACTTTAAGCTCACCGTGAAACAGTAACATGGTGAGCAAAAGTGATTGACTGAAGTTGGTGATGTTGATTTAGGAGGGTTCGACTTACAGGTCAGCTGTAAAACCCTTAAATATGCTTGTCAAAGTCTTCTTGTCGAACTCCTATGGCTTTTTCCAGACTCTGCCCAAACGTCAAATTCTCTGTGAAGGCCTCTCTGGCCAACATAGGCAGAAGCAGGCAGTTCTGCTTTTGTGTTATTATCGGACCTTGACATATTACTGTGGTAGCACTTAACTGAATTACACTGCACTTATGTTTCTCTCCGCTAATGGTTAAAGACATACTAGTCTCTTCTACTCTCTGGACCAGACCATCATCAAAAATGAAGTTAGTTTTCAACAAAGAACTCAAAGCCTGGTTAGATTATGGCTGATAGTACTGAACATTTGCATAGCATAGGTTACCAGTCTTTTCACATGTGGCAAGAAGATATGGCAATAGTTATCACCTATATTTTATAAACGAGGAAACCAATGCTCAGAGAGATCACATGACCAACCCAAGTCCAACACTGCTAATAAGCTGCACACCAAGTTCTCATGCCAGTAAGCTGATAAAAATTGGTAGAGAGAAGTGGTAGCAGTAGTGTCACATGAGGCAAAAATGGCAATGGCTGGCCAGGACGGCATTGAGTATTTCAGACTGGCTGAAAGTATCCACATTGTAGGATCTGGTTACTGTTGTTGAAATTCAATCTGAACAGGTTCTTAAGAAGTGTAATGCACATTAAGCCAGACATAAGAATGTCAGATTTTTTTACAATGAGAGGAAGGATTAGTGATAAATTCTTTCTCTGTATTCAAGTCACATGGGCCGTGCGGTCAGTAGAGAGAAAAAGACATAATACATACTGCTCTGTCATTTCTGAAATTCTGACTATGACTTATAAACTGCTGAAGTGGAATGAATTTATAGAGAGTGGTAGTCTAGATCTTTCATTTTATAACAAAACTAAATTAAAAACAAAAAATAAAGACCTAGAAAGGATAAATGACATACCTAAAGTCACAGAGCTTGTTAGTGGCAGTACAAGGACATAGAATTGGGTATACTTGTCTATACTTTTTTTTTTAACAACTTATGAATGAAAGAAATACAAGAATAGTTCTTAGCAAGCCTCCTAAGCATCTGGCTAATATGATTACTCATAGGCTGTAACATTATTATTCTTGAAAGAACACTGCAAATTAGGAGAAGTATACCATCTATTACTGTGTGCCTGGCTATTACTGAAGTAACAAGGCACATAATGTGAAAGGCAGTGTTTCAGGATTCAAATCATGTTAAAACCAGAAAATTTTTAATGGAGCTATTTATTTCTATAATTTTCCATTTACTATTCTTGGCAACATTTGAGCATCAGTAATTGAAAGTATGAAAAGTGAAACTACACACAGGGGAAGAGTACTGTATTTTTTCTGTTCCTGAAAATCTAGGCAGATGTAACTTTAGTGTTTAGGTAATCATAACACGTTTATATCTTTTAACTTTTGAAAATGATTTGACTACTTTCTCTTAACCCTCTTCTCATTGCCAATAAAATATATTCTAGTAATTATTGGTCCGCTAAAGACTTACATATGTGTCTCTATTAAGGGCAAAGACCCAAATCAACTAAGATTGTCAACAAAAATAAAGAACCATAACAATATTTATAAAACGTTTTGGCATGGTATCTATTACCAAAGTTGCTCATTTAACTCTTGGGAAGTACTGTGTGTGTCCAAGGTTAACGGTTGAAAGCGACTTGGTTTCTACAAGCACACTGTATCTCACAGACTATGTAAGTCACACTGAAATAAAATTGCATGGAGGACACATCACTGAGTAAGACAAGGAATCTTATTTAACAAATAACTGCTTTGAGGAGAGAAACATAACTTAACCTGCAATAAACTTGTTTCCAAATTGATTCTCGCTGGAGATAATCACAAGGGTGCCTTCTTTCAAATATGGGATCATTATTGTTTAATATCAAATATTACGCATATCTTTCTGTTTCCATCATAGAGTCTGTGGTCTTCCTTCTCCTTCTTTGTTGGATTCGGAGGAGATATATTAACACAACATTTATATTTTGGGGTTTTGTTTTATTTTAATTTTTTTTTTTTGATACAGGGTCTCACTACATATTCCAGGCTGACCTTGAACTCACAGCGATCCTCTGTGTGTTGCTTCAGCCTCCCACATGCTGGGATTACAGGCCTGCGCCACCATGCCTGGCAACACAGCGTTCATATAACAACGCCTTCCCTTCATTATAGGATTTTAACTTGTATGCTCACTCTCCCCCGCCAATTGATGCTAATGTTTACTGTTATTTGCAAGAGTTACGGTTTAAAATAAGAGCTCAGATTTTGAAAATAGTGTTAGCTCTTGAAGGTCATTTATATAGTTCCATTCAAAATCAGTTTCTCATTTAGGCTACAAAAGAAACTTCACCATAGCAAGGAATGGTGGCAGTGCCTGTAAGCCCAGCACTCTGGTGGGCGGATGGAGGAGGATCAAAAGTTTGAGCTCAGAGTTGTACACTTAGTGACTTAGTGAGAACCTGTTTCAAAAGAAAACATTTAAAAAGGCTTGGGGATGTGGCTCAGTATGAAGGCCCAGGGTTCAATATCTAGTACTACCATCAAGAAAAAAGAAAAGAAAGAAAGTTGTTCATAAGCCACAACAATTTAATATATCAAGTAAAAGATTATTTTAGGTATTACTTTTAAATTAGGTGAAATTATATTATGCTATGCAAAATTGGGCTTATTTAAGTACCAATTCACTTATCTTCTATAACATTTTGGTAGAATATTCCTAAAGTTCCATGTATTCGTAAAGTTGAAGATAATTCACTTAAGTCTCCATTGTACATGAAGCCAGCAACCAATCTTTATCTATGCTGTAGGTATAAAATATCTGTCAATATCTGTTAAAGGACTATAAAATAAAATCAATGTGTCAACAGTTACACAAAATGTCACGAAGAAGTTTAAAAATAAAAGCAATAGGCCTTACAATGCTACAAAATGTACTACTCACCAGAAACAGAGTTCGGAAGTTGCTGAGATCACCAAAAAATTCTTCTATGCTTACTGTCTTAGAGTCAAAAATGAAGTATTCTCCAAGACTGTCATACAGCTTGATCATGTTGTTGTGCATGGTGGACAGTTTTTCATATTGGTCTCTGGCACTCTTCGTAAAGCTGTAGCTTTGTGTTAAGGAGCGTGATCCAATAGTACTTCAGAGGCAATCACTAGATGTTGTGATTGAATTATATCATCACTTCTGTAAATCAATTTGTAACCCACAAATACTTCTACAGTGTATAATTTTTCTAGGGCTGCCACTATAAAGTATCACAGACTGGGTGGCTCAAACAATATAAATTTATTTTCTCACAGATCTAAAGGCTAGAAGTCTGAGATCAAGCTTTTGGCACATTTGGTGTCTTGGGAAGCCTTTCTCCTTGGCTTGCAGATGGCTGTCCTCTTGTTATGTCCTCCTAAGGTCATCACTCTGCGTTGTTCATGTCCTAATGTCCTGTTCCTGCAAGGAAAATGGTCACACTGCATTCCGGCACATCCTAATAACCTCCTTTTATTTGAATTACCTGTTCAGAGCCCCTACCTCCTAACACTCACTTTCTGAGGATAGGTTAGGACTTCAACATATGAATTTGAGGGGATGGGCACAGAATTCAGGGCACAACCTCCTTAGGTCATATTGGTGAGTTTGAAAATCTTTAAATTAGGCAGAACTATTTAATGTATAAGCATGTGGGATATGTTTGTTACAACATGTTTGCTAAATTAAATCATATAGGTATACACAACACAAAACCATTTCATATATTTTTATGAATAACCTAAGGTAAAAATAAACAGCAAAAAAAATTTAGAAATTTAATACTTTTTTTGTAGAGATAAAAAGGTTATAAAAAAAAAAAAAAAGAAAAGGAGGGGCTGGGGATTTAGCTCAGCGGCAAAAAGCGCCTGCCTGGCAAGCGCAAGGTCGTGAGTTCGGTTCCCGGTACCGGAGAAAAACAAACAAACAAAAAAAAACAAAAAAAAAAAAGGTTATGGTGAATTGTATGTATGGGCTATATTTATACATGTATAGAACTCTGTCTCTCTGCTTCCTTTGCTCTCTATGTATCTATGTATCTATGTATGTATGTACGTATCTATCTATGTGTCTATCTATCTATGTATCTGTCTATCTATCCTCCCACATGGAGAAAAAAAGAGGGAGAGAGAAGAAGGAAAATTGACGGAATTTAGGATGTGCTATCCCAAAATATGGTACTTTGGCATATCTTACTGAGCTTCCCTTCACCCTTGAAGCAGCCAGAGAAGAATTTTCTGATGTACCTCCAAAGCCAGCAGTAATACTCTCAATCTAGAACTGCAGACACCATCGCTGGGAGTGCAGGGTTGTCCTTCTTTCCTGAGGTATTTAGACACAGAGCAGAACCTGAAGAAATACACCTGACTAAATTTCCCCCACTTCATATCCTAGTTGTCCAATCATACTCCCTTCATGATCACTCCTTTTATTTGGGCTTCAGTTTTCCACGTCACATAACACTTACATTCCATAAATTTGCAATGTTTTTTGTTAATCTGTCATTTGTTATAGACATCTCAGCCATGAACCCAGGAAGGGTAAGGCAAAAAAAAGCCCCCCAACTCAGCAGCAAGCATTGTGAATATTTTGGAGCATTTCCTTTTAGTTTTTCTTCTGTGCCTAATAACTTTTGATTGTTAATTGAAAAGAATGTTTCAGAGAAAGACAAATAGGCTAACCACGAATAGCGATGAACACCTAGGCAATAATTTAAAATTCCAGTCAAATGCATTAAAAATTACTAATGATCACAGTAAAATTTATGTTTAGATGGAAAAGCAATAGACTTGAAATTGTGGAAGGAGGCTAATGGAATTACAGGCAGCTAAATTAGAGAGAAATTAATATACAGTCAGAAAGGGACTGGACTGTCAAGGAAGTCAGCAGAAATAACAAAGACGTCAGGATGGTGGCTGGAGGTGCATCTGCACAAGGCCAGCCTCAAGATAAAGACGCAATGGCCAGGCCTACATGCCTCCCTAAGGGATAAGCAGTAGCTTGGAATTATACTGTAATTAACACCACTTGGCCCAGGAAGTTCCAGACAGGCATCAGTCAGTCACCCAAGTGGGTGACCAGAGCATCAGACCTATCCCTTCCCCAAATGCCTTTGTTCTTTTCATGTACCCTTGCTATGCGACCTGTTTCCCTATTGGACTGATATTAGCTAAGCAGCTATACTTGTAATTCTACAGGTCGATTCCATTTTGACTCATGTTGTACCCACATGGTGACTTTGCTGTATAAATTACCCCTGACAAAGGGCCTTGGTAGCAACCCATTCATTTCCAGGTCCCCTCCTGTCTCTCAGGAGTTGTTTCTATTCCCCAATAAACCTTTCCTACTCATAAGCTCCTTCGTCCTTTGGAATTCACTCTTTGATTTCAGGGGACACAAACTCTCCACGTATTTGACATCTAGCAGGCTGGGAGTTATATTTTTTCCTTTATATCAATAGCACAATATGTGCTATACTGGTTTCAAATCCACTACAGAACATTAATATTTTGTGGAGGAATTTTTAAAAATCAGGAACTGATAATTGTGCCTTGAAATACTTGATTTCATAGGGTTTTCTGAATTATTCAGTGTGTTTTGTTATAACTGGGGGCCGAATTTATTTTCTACGGGAACACAGCTCAGGTTTTACAATAGAAGTAGATGGGGAAGTCAGACCATTTCTGGATAATTACTTTGCAGCTGACATTTATGAAATGCACCATGGTTTTAAAAATGAGATGCCACCACCTATGTTCTCTTTTTTATGCTACTTAACTATTAGCATTCATATTAGCAGCACAACAAGCTTTTCTCTGTTAACAAGTGACATTAAAATCTTTCAACCTTCAAGTTCATGTTGATATTAATAGACCTGAAAGAATTAATAGAATTCGGACAGCTTCTACTTCTTATTCACAAAAGGGTACATAATGATTCATATACATTCTGATTGTATTACCTTTGAGACTATCCTCATATATTTTTTATTCTTAAGAATATGTTAATCCTGATTAAGTAGAGCAGAAATATGACAATACTCTTTATTTCTTAGTAGAGAATGAAAGTGTTATTTGCCTTTCATAGCCTTTCTTCCATGGGGGTGGAGTAGACTCCTGGTAAGGACTTGCTAGGCCAAAGCACACTGTAAGGTAACTTACTTACAATCCATTTGCAATGCAAATTATTAAACTGTATATTTCAGAAAGTTCAACACATATAAGACAAAAAGAAAAAGCCAAAGATAACAAAAATGGCAAACATTTTTGTTTCCCATTCATCCTAATACAATTTTTCACCAGATAAAACATGCTCATGTAGTAACACATCTTATAAATTTGTTTTTATAGAGCAAAAACTGATTTTAGAAATTCTGCATGTGTGCCAAAGTGAGAAACTTTGAAAAATTCTGGGAATGGTTCATCTTTGAAATAACAAATGCAATGTAGTCCAGTCTGCGAGGCCTTCACTTATCTTTAAAGTTATAACCTTGTAAAAGTGATAGATGGCATGAGTCAGCAACAAAGCCACCAAAGTTCAAATGGACTGCATGCAAAATAGTATCAGATAATGTCACTCCTTTCGAGACCTTTATTTCAGTTAGGAGATTTTTATTTTACTTTTGAGGAGCTATGAAATGAAAGATATTGGTTATCTCTATGCTAAACACAGTGACCGATACAATCATCATTAAAACCTTAATCTGCACCCTGAAGAAATTTATAATCTGCTGCTACAAATAACTTTACCATTACCAATTTGCATTTGTGTAGGACTTTAAAATTCACAGCACGCTTGTCCTTTCATTCCATTCCATATTTTTGAAACAACCTTTGCATAAAGGCAGAAAAATAATACTATGTAAATTTTATTATTGTGGAAAGGAGATAAAAGGCACTCATCCATCTAGGATTAGAATATAAATATTGTGATAGTTCCGGGCATGATACCCTGCTCTTTTCATATGGTACAAATATATTGTTTACAATGACAATGACCTTCATATCAATTTCATTTTAATGCTATATATATAATAGGGAATATATTTATCGGTACAATGATGGTCAGTTTAAATTAAATTTGAATCTTTCTATCTGGAAGTTGCCTTTGTAGATATTTTAGTATATATAAGAGTTAATTTTGTAAGTCAAACTTGACTAGGTTAAGGGTTAAAACATTATTCTAGGTGTGTCTCTGAGGGCTTTTCGGAAAGAGACCTGCATTTGAATGGGTGGAATGAGTAAAGGAGGTCAGGCTCCATTTTGTGGGTTGCCATCATCCAATCTGCTGACAGCTCAGATAGAGTAAAAAAGGCGGAAGAAGGGCAAATTTTTTCTCTCTTTTAAATCTGGGACATCCATCTTTTTCCACTTTGGGATACGGGCATTTTTTGTATTTTGGGCCTTCAGACTTGAAAACTGCAGTTTCAAAACCTAAGTCCAGTTTTAAAAAAAATCTTTTTCTCTACTCTCAGAATATAATAAGCCCAGGGCAATTCCCTTTTAGTCTGAAAATCGGTTTGGCCATTCCTTTCTTACTTGGAAAAGGTCTTTAACTAAGAATAGACCACTCTTTCACCTGTAAAATGGGCTTATCCAAGAGTGGATCATTATCCTTCCGTGGGTGGAACACCTTCCCCACCTAATAAACCAAGAGGAGACTACAGATTACCAAATTCCACAAATTTTCACCACCAAAAAACATAAATATTCCCAGTTCCGAACTGTAGCTCACCTCTCTCCCTGCAGGATCCCCGCTCTAGTTTTTGAGTACATATTTCTCAAACTTCTGCCTAACAAACTCTTCCCACATCTCTTTCTGACAAACCCTGAAAAGTCTTTTTCTGTGAGGGGAGTCACTGAAATTGCAAACGTATTCTATGAATAAGGTGGGTTAGGTTCCTTATTTCAGCTCCAGAAAATGTGGTGGACATCGTCCAGTGACAGTGGGACTTCTCAGCTTTCATAATCACACGAGCCAACTCCCAAAATAAATCTCTCTCTCTCTCTAAATCTATATCTATATTTATATATACTTATATAATACATTCCATATATATATGTACTATGTACACATGTACA